TTTTTTTTTGGAGTTTGAAACTCTGTTTTCTGGCTTGGATTTAGATTGTTCATTGGATTAGACATTGGGGAATTCTTGTTATTAATCGTAAGTTCTTCTTTTCTCAATTGCGTGATTGATGATGATGGCTTGGGTTTATATGAATTTTGATGTTGAACTCCATATGAGTAGCTAAATCAATACGCTAGGGATAGGGGATGAGTGATTAGGTTCGATTATAATTGCTTGTTCTTAATTGTTCATATATTCAAGTTGTGCTTATTCTAGGGTTAGTAGATTGATCAGCTTTCTAACATAATTAATCAACGTGTAGAACCGAGAGGGGAGACGTTGGTCGATATAGGCTTGTTTAGAGTAGAATTGTTCGTAATAGTATTGTCTATGAGTTGTTGGAATTGATAGTTGATCGTGTACGTTCACTCTCTTGTTACGAAGAGTTATTGAGAGTGAGCCCTTGGACGAGAAACAATTCAAGTCCTTTAACCGAGCAATTGATTGCCGATAGTTATGTTAGAACCGAAAGCAATTATCCCCGATTCCCTAGCTCTTTAAATATTTGAGTTAATTCACTAGCTATTTAACTTGCTTTTCATTTATTTTAAAGTCATTAGCTATAATTGAAACCAAAACCATTGAATTAAAGTGTTTAGGATTTTCTTTTTTTCGTGATCAAATAATCATACATTTGAATCCGGCTAACCTTCCTTGCGATACGACCCGACGAACGAATCTTTCGATTCTACTCTGGTAAAAATACTCACAACAATCACCTCGAGCTCGCTCTCCTCGCCGGTTGAACACAGAACCTGCACGTAACTCTCACACCGGAGGTGTTTTTCCGGTGAAGAGCCTCAAACGCTCAAGTCAGATCTTGAGAAGGATGAAGATATGTGTATAAAAGTATAAGAGTATAAGAGATTGTTCCTAAAATGAGAGTTCTCGTCCCTATTTATAGGGACGAGTTACATGTTCTACACGCGCGATCTGGGCGAGTCTGGCTGGCAGCCTTCCTGCTCGTCCGTACAACCACGTGCCTCCACTATCTCTGGTGTCAGAAAACGTGTCGAATATGTCAGAGTTCGTTATCGTCGTGGACCACTCGTACAGCACAGCGTGTCCTCCTCCCACGTGCTGGAGATTCTCTTGTTTATTCTGATGTTCGACCGGATCTCTAGCGAATGCCAAGCTGTCCCTGAAGTATGAGGTGGTCGAGTCCACGACCATGCCCATCTGATCGCTCTCCCTCGACCAACTCCTCGAGCAACTGATACTTGTCTGATATCGCCGAACCTGCTTTTCTCCATTGTCTTCCTCCCTTCTTTCATTGCGGGTCCCCGGTCCAGTTCGGCTAGGCCGCTTGTCCATTTTAGTTGGTTGTCCTGACGAACAGGTCTAGTATATAATATCCCATTTCAGAAACAGTCTTTAGTGTTCGTCTTTGATCTCAATTACGTACAAAATTTCTTTTTATTTGTCACATAATTTTTTGTGTGCATTAATCTTGATTTGTATTTATAAAATTGATAGCTTTTGCGTTAATTTCAATTTGTATTTGTAAAATTGATAAATTGTTAAGCTTACAAATTCCTTTTTTATGGTAACAACTTAAAAAAATAATAATAATTTTTGAAATATTGTGTAGTTAAATCTTCATATGGAAGTAACATCATAATTATGGTATCTTATAAATCTTCTCTAAAACAACTTTAGCGTGAGATAATGTCTTTATTTAGGCTTATAATATTTT